CGAAACTGCGCACGATCCCATCCTCCGCCAAACTATCGCTTACGTTCAGACACGTTGGCCTCACACTACCTTCTCAGGAGAACTCAACCACTTATTCCAGCGTCGAGACTCCCTCTCTGTCGTTGACTCCTGCCTTATGACCGCTGATCGAGTCATCGTTCCTGTCCAACTTCGACAAGCCGTGCTCCGTCAGTTCCATTCTGCACACCCTGGTATCAGTAGAATGAAGGCAATAGCTCGCAGTTTCGTCTATTGGCCTGGGATAGGCAGCGACATTGAAGATTTGGTTCGCCGTTGTTCCAGGTATCAACAAGCAGCCGAGATGCCACAGCCGCAACCACCAGTCCCCTGGCAACCAACAGAGAAACCGTGGTCTCGAATACATATCGATTATGCTGGTCCAATTGATGGTACCTCCTGTCTGGTCCTGGTTGATGCGTACTCTAAAAGGCCTGAAGTTGTAACAATTAATTCTCCAACTACCACCGCAACAATAACTTGTCTCCAGCGCATATTCAGTCAGCATGGATTCCCTGATGTTTTAGTGTCCGACAACGGAACGCAGTTCACGTCATCCCAATTTGAGGATTTTTGTCGCTCTCACTACGTGCAGCACCTCCGATCACCACCCTATCATCCACAGTCTAACGATCAAGCGGAACGTTTTGTCGACACTTTCAAGCGAGCGCTCTTAAAGGCTCTAGGGTAGGGGACTACAGAAACCACTATTCAGGCTTTCCTGTTCGTCTACAGGACCACACCTAATCAAGCAGTTCCAGGAGGGAAATCACCCGCCGAAGCATTGATGGGTCAAAAGCTGCGCACAACACACGACGTAGTAATCCCAACAAAAGTGCCACCTGTGAAATCCAAAATCGAAACCAAGTGCAAGGGCTTCGCTGTTGGAGCTCCGGTCTTTGCCCGTGACTAGCGTGCTAATCATCCACACTGGATCGAAGCTTCAGTAACAGGCCATCGTGGTAGTATGCTATACGATAGCGTTGTAGTAGATGACACCTGGCTTCGTCATCAAAACCAAGTTCGACCGCGACATGGAACACTCAAAATACCATCTCAGTCAACCGCAAAAACACCCCTGCACATATTATTGGATACTTCCGGAATTCCAGGGCAACAAACGGAAAGTGTGAAAATCGCACCGCCGATTCCTCCTCGCAGATCACAACGCATCCGTCGAACAACCGAAAGAATACAGATCGACCCGAAAATCAAACGGTATGTTCAAACTTAAAGGGGGGATGTTATGTTGACCCAACGTCCATATAATTATTACAGGCTTAATTACGGAAGGCTGAAAACCATTCACTCGAGTGCACATGTACTCAGACCAGAAAAAACGCACACGTTCAAACAGCCTTCCAACTCGTGAAACATTCACCTTGTTTAGCCTTTGCACCTAGAATCAGTCTTGTTTCCAACCAGACACGCATTGTTGTATCCAAGCAACATTTATTTTTCCGGACAACTCTCGCCAAACTTCCAACATTTCTGCTCAGTTACGGACTTTGCACATTTACATAAAAGCATGTTTCTTGTTTCCAGGGTTTGCTTACGCAAACCCTTCCAAGGAAAAACCCCCCTTCATCACCGTTTCGTGATATAAAAATGAGGCTGTAAAACGCTAGAATCGCCTTAGCTTTGGCCAGTGAAAGCGCCTGTGGCAAAGGCCTGTCTTGTTCTTGCTTCAGTCTTGGGTTTGGAAATCGTGCGTAGAAATTTTGCGTTCGGTCTAGGAACCCGTTCGATTCGCGTGAATTAATCTTTCGCGGCTAAGTTCCGAGAACCCACAGACTTCGAGATTGTCAGTTACCGTGCCGTGCGAGAAATGATTCTGAGTCTCGTTCGTTCATCCGACTAGGAGAGTTAGTATTACATTGTTAGAACCTGACGTATTCGAGAGGCAGTATTCAACACATACCACCTTTAAAGATGAGGTAGATAACAGCTACATATTGTCCACCAAGAACATTCACCAATTCAAAACGGCTAATTGCTAACCTCTAGGTACACGCCATCGGAACACTCATGCCCGACGGATAGTGTCACAAATTCTGCAACATCAGCATTCGGTTGGCGATACTCATTTGCCCGGTCCTGCTAATACAACCTTTGGGTTGCATGCACTCCGTATACCCGCAGACAGCTTGCCACAGTTAATTTTTTAGTATTATGCTTAGTTCTATATAACAGCATACCAGAGCCACTTCTGGTGTCTCAGTGGCAGCATTTAGTTAAATCTATTTCTGCCGCCTAATTAATGCAACCAAGTGCTTGAGTACTCTTCTTTTGTTTTGTGTTCCATACCTCGTCATCATCAGTGCATTTGTCTGAAGCAGCCAATGCATGGATGCACTGCTGCAAAAGTATTTTGGCACTTTACCATTCCCTGTGTCTACCACGTAATACAAAACGAATTTGCTGTGGTTGGGAATCACCAGGTTTCTTCACATGATCACCGTGTGGTATAGATAACAGCCACCCAAAGCAGAGGACATATTCTGCCAAAATATATGCATTAGAAGTGACTATGATTACATGTTTTACGCTGCATCGCAAATGTGATTTTAGAAATATTCTAACGGACTCAACAGGGGTGCGTAACCTTTACATCATTAAAAACTGGTGTTTTACAGTCTGGTGCATAACCAGTGAAAGTGCATCGCACGGACTTGGAAAGTTTGTCTTCCAACAGGCTGTCTGCTAACCACCTATTTAGTATGTGTCAGTTGGCATCGGAAGGTGTGATTGTCCCTCATATGCATGAGGAAGAGATAAATTCATGTACCCCGGGATTCTACATGAGTGAATACACAGCCATGCGTACGAGTCAGTAAGTACAAAGCATTTGTGCATGAAATGGTAAATATGCGCCGTTTATATTTACACTGAAAAAAATCAAACGTGACCGAAATGAAACCGTCCGAGTAGCGGTGAATGCTGCAGTATCGTCCTAATCCTCCGTCAGCGTAAGGGTGAACAAAACTTTCGATATTGTTTCATGACTTTTACAGCCTCAAAATATGCACTGCGATGTGAAATTTAAGTCCGCATCCTGAGTGCCAGGTTTCAGACGTCCAAGTAACCTCGCACCAGCTCACAGTACTTCATATCACGATCCACTTGGCAGATAGTACATGGAAGGCAAACTGTTCCAAACAGGCAGTCTTCGAATAGAGTGCCCTGTGGAGAAATGTGCAATAGCAGTTACAATTTTATTGTTTCATTGTGTTAGGTGTACAGAAACGGCATACAAATAAATATTTCTACTAACTCCCGTACCGCTCAGAATATTGCGAGTTATAACATCCTTTGAATCTATGGGTCTACAAATAATGAATGGTTATGGATTGTTCTAATGAGTTGATAAATATGAGTGAAGTGAGTGAGTGAGTGAAATTATTAATACTGTTAGGTCGCACATTTGTGAAGCACTGGTGCTACTGTTTCATAAAAGCATTACAAGTGGTAAATAGCCCACTGCAAGGAAAATGGAAAGTATATCTCTTTGTCTAGTAATCCCGTGGATGATTCCACGCGTGTTGCTTTCGGTTGCAGAGAACCACAGATTTTTGACTCGAATATTGCTGTTGAACTCCATTTGTAGCAATCACTAAAGACCAAAAGTAACAATTGCAAAGGCCTTACTGAGCAGAACTTTACACCCAGCATTTTAACTCCTGCGTTAATTCTATTGCATCCATCTAAAAAAGCGACAGTTATGCAAAACCTGCCCGTTGCTGACTAATAACACTACTTCAGATGACCTCCAAACTCATGGAGTCCATTATGGTTAATGTAATCGGGAGAAACTGGAGAGTAATAATAATGATCCGCAGTCACACAGGGATTTTGCCAAAATTGGCACTACACTAAACTAGGGATAGCACGTGCACGCTGGGCGGAAACTTTGAATGCTAGGTTAAGAGTAGACGCTGCTTACCTCAGGGCTGGCTACTATTGCCCCCCCTGTTCCCAGAGTACTCTCTTCAAATTCTCTTCTATTCGAAAATGATTTAAAATGTGGCGTGCTATAGCTAATTTGGAGGATCATACCATCTTTAAAGATGATCTAGATAACAGCTACATATGATCCACCAACAACATGCTCCAATTCAAAACGGCTAATTGCTAACCTCTAGGTACACGCCATCGGAACACGCATGCCCAACGGATAGGGCCACAAATTCTGCAACAAGCAGCATTCGGTTGGCGATACTCATTTGTCCGGTCCTACTAATACAACCACTGGTTGCATGCACTCCGTATACCCGCAGACAGCTTGCCAAACAGTTAATTTTCAGAATTATACTTAGTTCTATATAACAAGCATACCAGAGCCACTTCCGGTGTTTCGGTGGCAGCATTTAGTTAAAACTATTTCTGCCGCCTAATTAATGCAACCAAGTGCCTGAGTACTCTTCTTTTGTTTTGTGTTCCATATCTCGTCGTCATTAGAGCATTTGTCTGAAGCAGCCAATGCATGGATGCACTGCTGCAAAAGTATTTTGGCACTTTCCCATTCCCTGTGTCTACCACGTAATGCAAAATTAATGTGCTGTGGTTCGGAATCACCAAGTTTCTTCACATGATCACCGTGTGGTATAGATAACATCCACCCAAAGCAGAGGACATATTCTGCCAAAATATATGCATTAGAAGTGACTATGATTGCATGTTTTACGCTGCATCGCAAATGTGATTTTAGAGATACTAACGGACTCAACAGGGGTGCGTAACCTTTACATCATTAAAAACTGGTGTTTTACAGTCTGGTGCATAACCAGTGAAAGTGCATCGCACTGATTTGGAAAGTTTGTCTTCCAACAGGCTGCCTGCTAACAACCTATTTGGTATGTGTCAGTTGACATCGGAAAGTGCGATTGTCCCTCATATGCATGAGGAGGAGATAAATTCATGTACCCCGGGATTCTACATGAGTGAATACACAGCCGTGTGTACGAGTCAGTAATTACAAAGCATTTGCGCATGAAATGATAAATATGCGCCGTTTATATTTACACTGAAGAAAATCAAACGTGACCGAAATGAAACGGTCCGAGTAGCGGTGAATGCTGCAGTGTCATCCTAATCATCAGCGTAAGGGTAAACAAAACTTCCGATATTGTTTCACAACTTTTACAGCCTCAAAATCTGCACTGCGATGTGAAATTTAAGTCCGCATCCTGAGTGTCAGGTTTCAGACGTCCAAGTAACCCCGCACCAGCTCACAGTACTTCATATCACGATCCACTTGGCAGATAGTACATGGAAGGCAAACTGTTCCAAACAGGCAGTCTTCGAATAGAGTGCCCTGTGGAGAAATGTGCAATGGCAGTCTCAATTTTATTGTTTCATTGTGTTAGGTATACAGAAACGACATACAAATAAGTATTTCTACTAACTCCCGTACCGCTCAGAATATTGCGAGTTATAACATCATTTGAATCTATGGGTCCACAAATAATGAATGGTCATGAATTGTTCTAATGAGTTGATAAATATGAGTGAAGTGAGTAAGTGAGTGAAATTATTAATACTGTTAGGTCACACATTTGTGGAGCACTGGTGCTACTGTTTCATAAAAGAATTACAAGTGGTAAATAACCCACTGCGAGGAAAATGGAAAGTATATCTCTTTGTCTAGTAATCCCGTGGATAATTCCACGCGTGCTTGCGTTCGGTTGCAGAGAACCACAGATTTTTGACTAGATTACTGCTGTTGAGCTAATCCATTTGTAGCAATCACTAAAGACCAAAAGTCACAATTGCAGAGGCCTTACTGAGCAGAATTTTACACCCAGCATTTTAACTCATGCGTTAATTCTATTTCATTATCTTTGTACTGTACGCGATTCTGCTTCAATTTAATATGTTGATTCTGTAGATGAATCGGTTCACAATGCAACGGAAGTAAAACATTTTTACATTCATTGATAATTCCATTGGTCAGGTCAAGTGTTCAGTGTCCGTCTATTCGCAAGTAATAAACTTACCAGGGATGTTCAAAAATAAACCGAACTTTTGGAAATTATTGAGAATACCTGTAGCTCGGGGTGTGGATGAAACGATTGTCCTGTTCTCCTTTTGCTGTAACATTTTATTACTCGTTGCACAATATTTTAAGCGCTTTTCCCTGAAACTAGTTCCTTTTATTGAAATTACACCGTTTCCAACAGTGCTTCCGTTTTTGCAAAGCTTTCTGCAAGGCACTTTCTGGGATGGCACGCAGGTCTCTTGTCGCATTGTTCTGAGTCGCCTCTATGGTTTGGGATCGATATCACTTCGAAGTGGTTTTAGTTTGGGAAACAAGATAAAGTCTGCTGGGGCTATATCCGGAAAGTACGCTGGAGGGGCACAACAGGAGTGTGGTGTGCTAAATAGCGGCGGAGCAGGGGAGGTGCTTGAGACTGCACATTGCCATGATGCATCATCCAAGTCTGGTTTTCCCATGTTCAGGCTAGTCTCGGCGCACAGCATCCATCAAACGCGCTGGAATTCCCTAGTAGAGTTTCTTGCCTATCATCTGACTAGGTGGTACAAAGTCCTGTTGCAAAAAGCCAATGCAGTAAAAAAACATAACAAACCTCACCTTGGTCTTTGACCGACTCATACGTGCTTTTTCGCCAGGAGACCCTTTTCACATCCACTGTGACGACTGCACCTTCGTTTCAACATCGTAACCGTAAACCTACGTCTCATGGTCTGTTATGACGTCTTAGGGAAGTTTTCATTTTCTTTGGCAGTGGCAAGTGGTTCCTGATCGATTTCAACACGGTTCTATTTCTGATCGTCATTCAAAAACAGTGCAATAATTTCGCATCGACACGACCCATCAAAATTTTGTCAAGCAAAATTTACTGGCGTGATCCTACGCTGATGCCCACTTCGTCAGCAACATATTTAACAGTTAAAAGAAGATTTCGAAGGGCCACAACACGAACTGTGATCCAAGAACTGAGGATAACGACGTGCGTTTGGGTGCTCCGTTTCTCTTTGGACTTTTGGCAAAGGAAGGTGTTCGAACTTCATTTACCTGGAGATTCGACTGCTAAATATTTGGAATTTGTCGAGCACAAGGCACGATGGCGTCCAAATGCTTGGATTGTGGTAAAGGCGTTACCGCAAGATCGAAGGCTGTGCAATGCTCTCTCTGTGATGGGTGGCTACACATTGCCCGCTGCGACATCAGTCCAGATCTTTATGATTACCTCCAGAGGACCACCTCCTCAGCTATCAGTTTCCATTGTGACTCTTGTCGAACTGTATTGAGCGATAGACGGGTGTTGAACTTAGTCCACGCACTTAGCCCACGATCCATTCCTATTCAAACTGAGAACTGCACCTCTGCTAAACCGCCGGTATCTTCATCGCCTCGTTCGGCCTCTGACTCAGCCATTTCCACTGGTAAACGAGGTCGCGTCCGCTCGTCTTCGCTATTGGACCCTCTGATACTTAGTGATGGCAGCCATGAGTCCAAGAGAAAGACATATGCGGCAGTAGTGAGTGAGAATGTAGAACAAGCATCGGCTAGTACATGCGCAACTCTGCGAGCGAAGAAAACCAAGAGTGATTCTACGACTAAACCCAAGAAACCTTCCGAACTAAAGCTGGTCCTCGATAGATTAAGCCAGTTGGAAAACGTTCTCACGAACAGCATGCCTCCTATGTCCCATCCCACTGAATACAATAAACCGCATCCTCGTGACCGTTGTTTGATCATCATGAATGCTCCTGAATCCAACAAGGCTTCCCCGGCTGAAAGGATCCTGGACGACCAAGAGTTTCTGCGGCGAATGGTCTCCCTCCTTTTTGATGAAGGTGAACAAGGGATCAATATTGTCACTGCTTTTCGTCTCGGAAGAAAGCAAGACAATACTTCTAAAGTTCGTCCCCTCACGATTGTCTGTCAGAGTGAGGATGAGTGTCGCCGCATTCTCAGACGGACCCCACGTCTTAGGGGAGAAACCTTTTATGTTTTGCGGGACCTCTGTCCGGAGGATCGGTCCGAATGAAGAAAGCTGTTGAAGAACTACGAACACGCCGGGAAAATGGTGAGATGAACCTCCACATTGTGGATTTTTGTGTAGTTCAAAAAGCTCCGAGAATTCGCTGGAGGCCAATCTTTGTCGCTCCCGGGCGGTAAGACCGAAGAATAGTTTGTGGGTGATATCTGCTAATGTACGTAGCCTACGAAACAAACTTGATGAAATTCAGAACTTTGCCTGTGAAAATCACCCAGATCTTATGGCTTTCACAGAGACTTGGTTGTTTTCGGACATCCTCGACTCAGAGGTGCATATTCCGGGGTATAATCTAGCTCGAGCGGATCGCTCTCGAAATAGGTCCGGAGGTGGTGTGATTCATTACTGGAAAGAGGACCTCAGGGGTCATCTGGTTGAGGCCATACGCGACAATGAAGATGGGTGTGAACTTCTTTGGTGTCGGATGCATGATGGATGCAAGTCTCTTATAGTTGGAGTCGTTTACAGAGCCCCCTTGGCTTCCGGAGCTAGCTTGCTGGACTCTATTAGTATGCACGGTAGAGGCAAGGATTGTCTGATATTGGGAGACTTTAATACTGCTAGTATTGACTGGGATTTACTCCATTGCAATCTTCCACGAACTCCTTTGATGCTGTCTTCCTCGAAACCGTGCTTGCATGCCATCTGTTTCAAAATGTTACAATGCCCACCAGAATGTGTCCGGGTCAATCGCCACACATCCTCGACCTCGTGCTCACACCGACGCAGTCGGATGTTTCCGACTTGACTGTTCTCCAACCATTTGGGAGAAGTGACCACTGCGTAGTTTCCCTTTGTTGGATGCGGCGTCTTACCATTCACGATCAGGGAGTATGCCTTTGGAACTTCTGGCGTGCTGATCCACTCCGTTTGAAAACTGCTGCCGGCGCTATGGACTGGGGTGTCCCTCAGCACTTAGATGTTGGTGATGCTTGAACCCTCTTGTACTCCAAGTTCATGTCCCTCATAACTCAGGTCGTTCCACTCTGCAAAGGGAAACGTTTTTCCAATGGCCCTCTCTGGAGTGATCGAGAGTTAAAATCCCTTATGCTCCGTCGACGCAAATTGTGGGATAAGTTCAAGACTACACAATCGCCTCTGGACTACCTTGATTACAAAGCGGTCAGCAATATCTGCACATTCAAAAAGCAAGAGAAGCGACAACAGTACGAGCGCCGCTTGGCTGAGGAATCTTCCACCGCTCCCAAATTACTGTTCTCCTATCTGCGGATAGTTACGAAAGCTGGTAATGGAATACCTGCGTTGTATTCCAAAGAAAATGATACTACTCTTCATGATGATGATGCGAAAGCCGGACTCTTGGCCCTGCAGTATTCCTCAGTCTTATCGACTGAGCCACCGTTTACCTGTGATTTAGCGTCTACGCCTTCATGTACTTTAGAACGCTTAGAAACCAGCCCCGAATTGGTTGCCAAGCTTTTTTTCGAGCTAAATCCGAACTCATCACCAGGTCCTGATGGGCTACACCCTTTGTTCCTCAGAACCCTAGCTGAGTACATCGCTGTACCTGTTTGCCAAATTTTTCAGCGGTCTCTTGATGCGGGGCGTCTCCCGCTTGCTTGGAAAATGAGCACCGTCAAGCCCATATATAAAGGTGGAAATCGTCAGGACCCCGGAAACTATCGACCAATTTGCTTAACATCTATAGTTTGTAAAGTCATGGAACGAATTCTCAAGCGAGCCCTTCAGAGTCACCTTGACGGCTTGAATGTCATTTCCTCTGCGCAGCATGGCTTCAGGCGAGCTCGCTCATGTGTTTCCAACTTGCTCGTTGCCAGAGAGAGGTGGGCCAGGTAATTAGATGCCGGAAATCGCTTAGACGTTGTCTTCATCGACTTCAAGAAGGCATTTGATACAGTACCACACGAACGGCTTCTGTTTAAACTTAGGAGTATTGGTGTGTCTGGAGAGATTCTCTCAGGGATCACTGATTCTCTGGATGGCCGTAGCATGCGAGTGAAGGTGAATGAGGTCTACTCCGCTTCCGTTCCCATGACCAGTGAGGTTCCACAAGGCTCTGTCCTTGGCCCCGAGCTGTTTAAAGTCTACGTTAATGACCTTCCATCTGTACTCCAGACCGAATGGCTGCTTTATGCCGGTGACCTGAAGATATGGATGGAGATACCAACACCTGAAGCCACTGACCGAATGCAAGAGAAGCTAGACCTGCTTCATAGCTGGTCTTCGGAATGGCGTTTACCCATCAATCGTGAGAAGTGCTCTGTCCTGCCGATCGGCTCTTCTGACCCATTTGGCGCCTATCACATTGGTGGTTTCTTGATCCGGAATGCTGCCTGTGAGAAAGACCTTGGTATACTCGTATCTCCCGATCTGCGTACCACCGAGGACACCCTGAGGAAGATAGCGGCTGCGAATAGGATGTTCTGTGCCATTAGGAGATCGTTCTCCCGAATGACTCCAGAGGTCTTCAGACTTCTTTTTTCTTCCCATGTGCGCCCTATCCTCGAGTACGGTTTGCCTGCGGCCTACCCTTTTACAAAGACTGAACGTGTTATGATTGAAAGAGTTCAGCGACGAGGCTCGAAATCCATCTCAGCGCTCCGTGACCTGCCTTACACTCAGCGTCTTCGACAGATGAACATGTTTTCCTTGGACTACCGTCGACGTCGGGGTGATCTGATTTACACCAGACGGATATTGCGAGGACAGATGGGGAGTGAACTGCAAGAGTTCTTCCAGCTCTGCGCTGATAGCTCGACACGGGGTCACTCTTGGAAACTGTTTAAGCCGAGGAGGGTCCGGATTCATTCTGATTTCACCCTATCAACTCGAGTGGTAAAGGACTGGAACAGCTTGCCTGAACTGGTCGTTAGTGCACAATGTGAGGAAAGTTTTAAGAAACTGTTAGACTCCTATCTGCTGAGTATGCAAGGATCCTGCTGTTTTCGATGCGACCGTAATGGTCCCTTGCGGAATACCGCCTCGCAGCATGTCGCACAATCCTTGCTCTGAACGGGATGTGATGGAGCTGACACAGGATGTCCTATCTGCTCTCTACCACTCCAATGAAACTCCAATGAAACTCCAATGAACTCACTCCATTTGGTCGTTGTTTGTTGACGTAGAAAGTCGTCCAGGATTGTGTTTGTCACCGACCGACATTCTGTCGTGTTCAAAACACTTAAACCAGTTATAGCTCCGCGTGTGACTCATGCAGTCCTCCTAGCATACTTGGCTAAGCAAATGAAATGTCTCTCTAAAAGTTTTGCCAAGTTTGCAGCAATCTTTCACAAATACACACACTTCGTTCTTCAAGCTTTTACATTCTCCCTTTGGCACTAATCTGACAACAGCTCGTGCACTTGCTCACTTCAGCTGCTGTAGCTCGTCAACTTACAATCAAAGCGAAATGTGTTTAAGGACACTTTATTCTCTAAACAAGCCCCTATGTGACCGTGGTAGCCGCAGCGCGCTCCCACTTCCGGTTGGCGCGCTATTACAAAAGTTCGGTTTCTTTTTTTAGCAACCCTCGTATATCACTTGTCTGTCAATAGGGAAACCGTCTGTGTAGCACTCGACCAACTTACAATCTGAGATACGCGCTAGCCTTGTGTCGATTCGAGCGCCATACATAATCCGTTCTAAGCAGTGACAGTATATAAACATGTGTCTATACAAATTGCGGTTGTTTTGCATTTCACGTCAACTACAATCGTTACTTTCGCATGTATCTTGTCTAAATTGGGTATATTACATTTTGATTGAGATTTTATTTGTTCTCACAGATTAAACACTTCTGCCTCACCCGTATACGTTCCCGTCCTCGGTGAAATGTTCGCAAAGCTGCCACAGCGCACGGATTAAGACATGCAACGCACGGATGTTCTCCATACCGGTAGTACAGGTAGCACAGATAGCATGGCGGACAAAAGGTTACGCACCAGCCTGGAAAAAATGGCAATACAGTGAATTAGAAATTGAATAACACGTCCTTAAGTTGACCACTCAAAGGAGTGCACCAAAGTGGTCAACCCTCGCGAGGTGGACGACATGAGGTTTTATATACAACTTGGCGTACCTTAATATCCCATAGTGAATAGCACAGCATAAAATTTGTTTTCATGTTTAACCTGCTTCGAATGAAGCTAGTGATCCCTTACATGGAAGTAGACAGTTGAATCATGGAGTAGTATATTAATGCAAAACACTGTGAGGTTTCATAAAATTTCATTCATTTTTGAAGACTATTAAATTTGTGCTTGCTTTTTTCTCTTACCACAAGTTCAACGTAACAGATTAGCTTAGAACTGTTCCTAGTGAGGAACATTTATTTTCGGCAAAGGCATGTATGGCTCGATAAATGAGCAGTACAACAAGTTGCCAAGGTGGGACGAATGTCCAAAAGCAGTATTAAGCAAATAGTTCAATAAAAGCTAGGGGGAACTCGGTTAAGGACCGCACTCCCACTAGATGTCAGTGTTTATGTAGTTATAGTGATTTTGTTTGTTAGACTGCACCTCGCATATAAGCATCTTACACAGGTATGGTTCCTCCGATGGTGGAAATGCACAGGTGGGAAATATCCAAGGTCGGGAGTCCCAATGACAACTGGTGTTTGCTGATGCGGGATGGATATATCCTCTAATCTCTGAGATGAGCGGATAATGTACAGTACATGAGAGTGCCGGGAGGCAGTTTGTGCGTAGTTTCTGATGGCCGCTGCCTGCTCACCGACGCCGTATATATCGATTTTGTTTTTCTACCGCTGGACCATACGTGTGCGTCCAAGACAGGACTACCCATCACGTAGATATTAGTGTCCCGGCAGATGAGTAGATCTGGCTTCATGTAAGTCGTTGGCGTGGGGTTTGGTGGTTGTGGGATGAGTTTAGTTCCCCGACGGCGTGAAATCGCTGCAACTTGATTGGCAATATCATTGTGCCATTGGCAGCTTGCATCATGGGTTACACTGAATGCTTGGAGCATGTCAGAGTTTGGTTCCTGTTGCCCACATGCACCGCGGCAATTGAAAGCGGATGGAGCACTCTGTGGTCTGCCTCTGACACGTCTGAAAGCCTGCGCGTATTTGAGCTGTCCTGATAAATAGGCGCGGGAAGACACATGTAGGTTGCCGGAGCCATCGATGAGCAGTTGGATAGGTTAAACCTGTACGTAGAAGGGATCTGTCAAAGGGAGTGAGTGACTGAGCTTTCCACTCCTCCTTTGCTAAGGCTTTATCCGTCACAGTTTGCTCACCTATGATGAGTGGCAAATTAGCTAACCGATGTATCGCAGAGGCAGATGGTTCACGAATGGCCCAGCTCAGAATTGCATTTGGGCTGGAAAGTTGTCGATCCAAGCTATCTTTCCGAAGTAATGGCAACATGCTTGAGAGACTAGGAATACCTAAGGCGCGGTCAATGATGGATGCCCGAAAAAAGCAACGGCTGTATCCTTGAGTAAACTTGAGCGTTTGCGAACGTTAGCACTGATTAATTTGTTCATCATTTTTGAGTGTATACCGATGTATTAATGCCAGCAACATGTTGTGGATGTGTCAAGAGCTGAGGAAGGTCTAGAGAATTTCGATTCGTTGCTGTACTTTTCATGGTGTTTGCGAAGTTTCTTGGAGATACTGACGCACGTCATCGAGGGAGTGAGGCGGTAGCTTTCCGTGCCAATTAAAAGGTAAACCCAGGAGCTTAACTGAATCCATCGGCTGGACTTCTGGAAGATTCATAGATCTTAGATGAAGGTCAGGACTGCCCAGTAACACTTTCTGCCTGGTTCTAACAATGACGATCTTTACAGTCTTAGTTTTCATCTTGTTTATGGAAAGGACAATAGGCTGGAGGTTGTTGCTAAAATTTAGAAGTCGTTCCAGTAGTGCATCTTCGTTTTTCGCTACGATGATCCCATCGTCCACATATGCAATATAATCAACCTGGCTTGCGGGACACATCCATCGACACGAGGCTGGTTTTGAAGAGCTTCGTCGACCGTCAAGCTGAAAAGTAGGGGTAAACATGGGCCCACTTGCCTAACGCCTCGCTCTGGATAAATTTGCACCTTCCAAAGCGTTGAAATCGACGAAGAACAGTAGGAAGATAGGTAATCAATAAACAGACACTCAGACGCTTTAATGTGCTCAGTGCAACAATTGGGGTGATGCGTCCCAGTGTATGCAGACAGGTAGGTAAAATATTTACATGGAATCCATCACCGTCAATTCGTGGACACCGGTCTGTGAGGACCGGTGTACAAGGTAAACACCTAGAAGCGTAACGATTGATAGACAGTACGACGATAAATGCGCATATACACGGACGGAGAGCATACCGTATTATCAAACGTTTGCGGTGACTGTGGGTCAGAATTTCACATATCGCAACTTCCCACCACAAGCACATTGTTATGTGAACAAATGACCATTGAACGGGGAATATTTACATGGTGAAATTGCAGAAGTTAATTTGAGAATGACTGTTATAGCCCAGGTGATCAACGTACAACTTAAAGTGGTCTACTTGCATGGGGTTCACAGGGCGAAACTACATACTGTGAAATAATAATCAAATTAATGAGGTGATCGGGATATGGTGGTGGTCAGCTTCGGGGGTATTTCTGTATTCCATTATGTTGCATGGTAATTGCAATCGGCCTCGTGTGCAAACGATTGAAACTAGACGAACGCCTATTAATCTTAAGAAGACTAACGCCTAACGAGCCCCGTAGGATTGTAACACTGATGGCACCATAGGACGGTTAACAGTGTGGTTTCCGTCCGATGTAGGGGTGAAAACTCTAACTAACAAAGGAAAATCATTAAGGTTATTAAAGTCGTCGGTTTTATGAGAAACATGACTAGCATTACCAAGTAAGCTGTTGTGCTCGTGTTATAACAAATCTGCAAAATATACGTTATCTCTTCAAAAGACAGTGTTTTGGGATGTAGTCAACAAGTTCCATGATTTCTTTGACCCAAAATGCTGCTTAAACGATCATAAATGTACAAAATTCATAAAAACTGTAAGTAAGATACAATAGAAAAACATTCTGGCAAAGGCTGACAAAGATTTCCATCCACAAACTGTTCCGTCGTGGCTTTAAAGAAGGAACTTGAATGCTCAACGGATTTAAATCGAACAGAAATCGGTCACCTGGTAGATCAATGCGCTATGATAGAATATAACAGATTACAAAGTCGAAAATAAACGTAATGATAAATTGGATCAGCTTAGGTAAGCTTACGAGAAAATTCACACAATCGTGATTGTCGTTCTTTCCGCGTTAGTTGGTTAGAAGGACGGTGGGTAAACCGGCAGTTCATATCCTACTTTATATCCCACTGAACATGGGTTACATAACATATTGGCATGAACTATTACATCACCACACTGTAAATATACCAAATATATGGACTCAAATATTAGGTTATTCCAAGAGTATCGAATGAATGACGAACTCGGACCTGGACAAGATTCCAACATCTTGTCGGCTGCTAAACCTGCGGTGTAGCATGTGAGTAAGGACCATACAGTCAAGGTATGGATAGTATCCAATGAGTGGTGATAAAATTCGCTGGGTTTCATGATGGCCCCTTATGTCATAATGTGGTCGGTCCGTAGGTGATAATACTATCGACTATACACCACTAAGGCTTTCCGTCAAAGTTTCCATCAGAAATTGATTAACTCTGAACGGTGACTATCAACATGGCCTGCGAAATGAGTCCTGCGCTAATTGCCAATTCCGGTGACCGGACTGGATCACAGGAGAAAATATTCCGGAAGTGTTCCCGTGATCAAATGAGATTAACTGCAGGTAGTTCGCCGAATCCCGTATAAACCACCTCTAGAAAAATAGGGTTCACGGAGTTAACATCTAGTCTGGATATGATTTCGCGCCCAAGACAGAAACACGTAGTTAAATTTGGCAACATCTAATGCGAAACTAAATCATTCCCTAGCAGACAATCCACTGCAGTGTGCCAGGTCGCCCTAAATTTTGATATACATAAATGAGATGAAAGTTAGGAAGCTTTTCATTCGCGGACCATGTCAAAATCATCCAAAATCTCGATGTCTAGCGAGGTAATTTAGGCTCAACATACATTCAGTTCCATCTGGACTTGTGGATAAATGAAAAATCACTTAGGGATGCACTTTAGCACAGAGCAACGTAGTGTACTACGTCATTTTGCAACGTTTTTCCTAGCCTACAAATTCTTAAAAACCTGTTAACCACATACATGACCAGGGCTGAAGGTAAAATGTCCATTTCAGTTAGACATCCTTGCAGGTTAATTCCATGAACATAGATTCTTCTGCCGATAGAAGGTGTATCGCGAATGATACCAGATTGGAGACAGTCATACCACCGGGTTATGTCCGGTGCTTCTAGTAAGGCGACGAAACGATGGTTTATGACGGGTATAAAAGCGCATGCTTGAGAAGTCCCGGAGGATTGTAGGGTTGAAAATTAAACAATTTCAATAAACGGTGTCAGTAAAAGCTGTGTGACATGACTAAACAAATGGCTTTGAGTAGCACTTGCGCGAGTATTCTTGCCTGGATTTTAGGATGCTTAGGACACTGTCCACTGTTTTTGGCGCACCAGTGTCATTAACTGATAGTCATAGGCTATAACGTATAGTGTAAGTATGTCATGGTATCGTCAAGACGCTCCTTGAAAAGAAATAGGTGGGGGCATTAATTATATGCCCGAGAAGAGCGTTCTAAGACTGTGATACCCAGAGCGGGACAAAGTTGCGGTCACATTCCAGTCAACTGTATTGCGTGGCTAACTTAAACTGATGACTCCTTAGATATGTGTTTGATTGAATTTCAAAAGAGTGGTAAGTGTGCTTTTAGTTTCTCCGGATCTGATAAAACATTATGAAATCGCCCCCTAGACGCCGATGTACATTTTGAAAGTCTTCACTC